TGTTGGAGCTAAGTTCCTGGAGGAGTAGCAAACCTGAATTTGCAAATATAACAAGTTGTAACTTACAGAGCCACATAAACTGCCCAAGGCCACTCACATGAAAAACACACTGGCCAGGTTGAAGAATCAAGATTGTGTTGGTAACAGCAGCAGTCACAGTATAGTAGTCCACCAGCTAACCAAGTAAGATTCCTTTGATTCGGGTGACTGGGGCTACCCTTTTGCCCTTCAGGACACCTGACAATACCTAACAGCATTTCTCACCCAACTAGGGTGTTACTTCTAATGGGTACCCCACTAAATACCCTATACTGTACAAAGCGATCCCCTTTCTAGTCAACAATCTGGTCAAAAATATAGATATGCATTGAAGCCAAATGAAGACCAGAAGGCACAACTAAAATAATCATTATTTTAAAAAAATACCTAGTGTTAATGCTCTTGTTATACCCTGAGTATACTGTCTGGAAAATAATTGGTATGCAATTTAAGATAGTTACGGTAGTCTGTCTTTTGTTACCACTTGTCTTTTCTGTTTTTAGAAAGTCTACCCACATTACCTTTTAAAAGTTACCAGATGATTCTTCAATTCTCCCTTATTTGTAGAAATTCCCGGTTACAATGACCTGTCCCGGGCCTAGGAAGTGTGTGTGTGTAGGGGGGAGGTCTTGATGATAGTCTCCTTAGGACTTACCCCTTTCAAGTTAGTCTACAGGTTGCCCTTGGTTGAACCAACATGAGATTTGTTATCTTCATTGTCTTTCTAGGGCAAACTAAGGTAAGTCATTCAAAGTTCTATAAATACTCCAGACAGGTTCCCATCAACTCCATGGAAGCATTTGTTATATAACAGACTTCCAGAGTGACCTATAAGTAGGCTTAAATTTTAACTCAACAGGCCAAACCATTTTACATGTTTTGTTCTTATGTATGTGGCACCACACACATACCTGGTGCCCACAGAACACGGAAAAGGGTGTGTGATCCCCTTAACTTGCATTGGCAGTTGGGCCACCATGTGGGCACTAAACTGAATCTATGTCCTCAGCCATGAGCACCATGCGCTCTTAATGGCTGAGCCAGCTCTTGAGCTCCTGGTCCAACCATTTTTAACTCCTCTTTGAGCCTTTCCAAATAAGCCCTTCCAAGAGTGCTATTCACGTCCCTACTCAGTAGGGCTGGAAAATACTTGGGATAGTATTTGCTTGCCACCACGTCAAAGATACCCGTTTTGCAAACACAAGACCACTTTAGGATGTCAAATATAAAATGCCTAGAAGGTACACTTCCTAATACTTTACCTTGTAAAGGCATAAGCTAAAACTGGGGGAGGGACATGCTCAATGAAATCAAGAAACTGAGTTGTCTACAGAAAATCTAGGGACTTCCATGAACTTTAACCTTCTGGAATAGCATGGTAGGAAAACCTAAATACAGCATTAAAAAATTGGCCAGACTATGGTGGTGAAAGGCAGATCTGAGTTCCAGGCCAAGGCCAGATAGGACTACACAGAGAGCATTCACCTAGCATGTTTAAGACCTGAGATCTGGGGCTGGAGAGATGGCTCAGAGGTTAAGAGCATTGCCTGCTCTTCCAAAGGTCCTGAGTTCAATTCCCAGCAACCACATGGTGGCTCACAACCATCTGTAATGGGGTCTGGTGCCCTCTTCTGGACTGCAGGCATACACACAGACAGAATATTGTATACATAATAAATAAATAAATATTTAAAAAAAAAAAGACCTGAGATCTGATCTGGATACTCCCTAGGCATCACAAAACCCTACAAAGTAATTTCTTGTATTCAGCCTGGTGGTTCACTGTAGTCTCCACACCATCAGTACTGCATGAGAACTTTGCTAGAAATAAAAACTGGCCTCAGTCTATAACTACTAGAACCAAAAATTTGCCTCTATCTTGTCCTGATATGTCCTCCACCTAGTCATGACCCAGCAAATGCTAAGGAGTAACAATGCCATGCCACAAAAGTGTTTAATTAAGAGGTGATAAAAGGAAACAACCTCAGAATATACTGGTTTCATTTGCAGGGCATGGTGGAGCACATGCCTTTAAATCAGAAGCAGCCAAATATCCCACTGGAGGCCAGACAGTAAGACCTCATCTGACTACTTACCCAGATCACTAAAATGTATACCTTCTAACAACTTAATAAAAGCCCATACAAAAGTCACAAATTCAGGTCACATTAAATACCTCATTCTCTAAACTGTCATACTTTAAAAGTGTTCACAAGCAAACCATCATCACAAATAAGACTTTATTTGTCACTATTAAAAATCTGGATTTCACACAGATTCTTGGACTGGTGGTTCATATCCATCAGCTCGTTCAACCTTAGCACCTGTCTCATCGCCAGTAGTTTTTCCAGAACTACCACCTTCACCATGGAGCTCCATGAGTTTTCCCACTAAAATGAAAAGAGGAAAAAAAAGAAAAAAACCTTGTTACAAGTTATCGTAACTTCATACTACATAGACACAAGAAAACAGACCATTATCTTGCCCTTAAAAATTTACACGTTGAGCTAGTTGGTTGGTGGCACAAACATTTGATCCCAGCACTAGTCTACAAAAGTTAGATCCAGGACCAGCTCCAAAGCTACAAAAAAACCTTTTCTCAAAATAAAAATAAAAAAACTACACCACGCCAGCTGTGTTCTTACACATCTTTAGTCCCAGCACTCAGGAAGCAAAGGCAGGCAGATGGATCTGAGTTCCAGGACAGATAGGGCTACACAGTGAAACCCTATCTCAAAAATAAATACAATTTAAAATTGAATAAAATTGACATATAAAGAGCTGATGAGGTGGCTCAGTGGTTAAGAGCACTTGTTCTTACAGAGGAACTGGGTTCATCCAGTTGCCAGCACCCACAGGTAGCTTGTAACCATCTGTTAACTTCAGTCCCAGGTAAACCGAAGCCCTTTTCAGAACAATGTTACCAAGTACATATATGATGGTGCCTAAACTATATACACATGCAGGCAAATTACAATCAATTTATAAAATTTCAGTCATTAAAAAAAAAAAAAACAACACATATCTGGTCCCAGAAATTTTCACGTCATGAATCCTGATTTCTCACTTACATTCAAACTTGGGTTTCTTCAGCATTTTCACTTTTCTAACGAAGACATCATGAAGAGGATAAATGGACTGGCATGCCTTCTCTATGTCTTTCCCAATGCTGTCTGGAATCCTGCAAGACCAGCAAACTTTAAATTAAAAAAAAAAAGCAAACAAGAAGCCCACAAAGTTTGTTTTTCATATAACCACTTCTTTACACTGAAAAAAGAACCTTAGAAAATATCTAATGTGTACCCACAGGCATCCTTATTAAAGATGGTTATAATATCTAGCAACAAAATTAGCACCTAAGTCTTCCTTTTTTACACAACATCCTTAGCCATTGTATTCTGCATGGGAACATCAGAAAAATGTTAACAGTTATCAGTGTACATCAACTGGGACCGAAACATCTTCTCATCATGTATTCCCACACAGTATCCTGAAAAGCTCTATTACTCCTTGGGTATGTAAGTTAATGTCTAAGTTTCACTATCCACCGTTGGAGCTTCAACCAGAAAAATAACTCCAGCTTGCCCACATATACCTTCTCTTACCAAAGGATAATTCAACAGGAGGAAACAAAAACCCCACTTACAATTTATTAACCACCTCCTTCAAGTCATTTGTCTGCACTTCTCGGGTCATGATCTCCATCATCTTCTTCCGGATCTGGCGGACCTGCTGGTGCTGTGCATATGAGGTCTTACGGATCTGATTGTTGCGTTTTTTTGTGAAACCAACACAGAACAGACGGAGCAAATAACCATCGGTTGTCTTGACATCAACGTGAGCTTCAATCATGGTCTAGGGAGAAAAGGATACTGTAAACTCTTAACTCTCTTCTGAGAGGGGGTCTCACTACTGGCTTTGGCCTCCCTGCCCGTAAGCACCACCTCCACTAGCCTTTGCAGTTGTTTTAGGGCCTCAACCAATTCCTTATGTACTAATATAAAACAGCTTGGAATGTTAAACCTTTATGTGACATAAAATATAAATATCTAGCTCACAACTTCCTTAAAATTAAAATTAAAGATAGCCAAAATTCATTCTTACCCTCTAAACCACTGTCAACAACCGGATACCACATCCTTTACTTCTTTATCTATCAAACCCAACAGAAGAGCTTTGAAAGTTAAATTCTAAGACAGCATCCACAGAATAAGATCATATGAATTTGTTTTCATCTTTAAAAAGAAAAAAAGTAGGTTGTGTGTGCTTTAATCCTAGCACTCCAAGCAGGAGGCAATAGAGGTTGGATCTCTAATAAGAGTCTAAGACCATCGCAGTCCACATAGCCAAGTTTCATGCCAGTCAAGGATACATAGTAAGTCCCTGTCTCATGAATTTAAAAGAAAAAAAATGACAGAAGAGGCCAGATACAATGACACAGGTCTGCAATCCTGTTGCTAAGAATACAAAGACAAATCACAACTTCAAGCCCAGCTTGGTCTACACAGCAGGGAGCATACCAGAACAGTTAGGGATCCTTTCTTCAAAGGAAGAAAAAAGTTCTGTTGTAACAGCATCTTTAATCCCTTTTATTTCAAACTAAAGCCATGCCAAGGTTTTAGATACATAATCCAACTGCTAAATGTAAATAAAAACCATAATTGGACCCTATTTCCATCTTGAGTTTTTTTTTTGGCTTTTTCAATACAGTGTTTCTCTGGAGCTTTGAAGCATGTCCTGTTTTAAAACCTACCCAATATCTGCCATGTGTGGTGGCACACACCTTTAACTCCAGCACTCAGGAGGCAGAAGCCGGTGGATCTTAGTTTGAGGCCAGCCTAGGCAGCATAGTTAGACCCTGTTTCAAAAAATTAAAAAAAATCTTGATTTTCACCACAAAAAAAGAGTATCAGTATTTATTAAACAACTTTTTATTTCCAGAATTGCATAATCTGTAAGGGAATGTCAGAATACATGTAACGGTGAAATCAGTATAATTCATTTGGGACCGAAACATTTTGTCATCATTCATTCCCATACATAAAATGCCAATACTATATATATCAGAATAGTTATTTCCTGAAATGATACGGGTTACTGATTTCTGTCCAATTACCTACATAAGTCATCTTCACAACTCAATGAGCTGATGTTACAAATAAAGAAACCAAGCTGCTAAGTAAGCTTGTTACTTTCCAAGGACAAAATAAATGCAAACTGTATGATTTTAGCCCCACACAAGTTCTGCCACTGTCATACTCCATGGCCAGAGACAATGCAATTAGCCACTTTTCACTACAAACTCCAAAGATGAGCAGCCCTACAATAGTCTCTAAACTATTTTTACCTGTGTGCCCTTTAACCAGTAAATACTTAGCCAGGGGCTGCAGCTCAATATAAAGAGTAACTGCCTATGTGGAAAGTAGTGGGTGCTACCTCTAACGCCAAAGAATAAAAAGCAGCTTGACCACAATTTAAAAATTTTCATCAACCATGAAAGAAGGGGAGTTTAGAACGTAGAATTCAGGTAAGTGGGTAAAAAACAATTGATCGGGTTCTCCTTGCAGTTCTATCTCTAGTAGCTAGCTCAACAACATACAAATGTAGGGAAAAAAAAACTTGTTCATTCTCTACGTTAAAAAAAAAAAATGCCATGGCTTACTGACATACGGACTCAGGAGGACCCAACTTTAGGCTGGTGCTTAATACCAAGAAAGCACTCAAAGGTCTGAAATGAAATCTTACCCTCTAGTCCATGTTCTGATCTCCAAATCACCACACCATAACACCCCTACACGTGCACACCACAACACTACATACATGCTCAGATGCGGGGCGGGGGGGGGGATTTCTCACCTGCCACTTTTTGACCATGGAACACATTTTGTCCCGGGTAAGATCCATGCCGTGGAAGTTAGTCAGACAGTTTTTGCCCTGAACATCCTCAGTGATTAGCTTGAATTTTCTAAATGCAACTTCATCGTTCTGGAGATCAGCAAGGCTCACTTCAAACACACGACCTTTGAGGCCATCGGAGGCAATTTCTACAAAAGAACCCAAGATCCTGTTAACGTGTTACGAAATCCAACTAGGCAGGCACCGGGGACATACTGGCAATACCCAACCATTTTCTTGATTAATTCTAAAAGATCTCCTTCCTGCTACATGTGTGAAAAACTAGCACCCCAAACGCCAGGACTGCAACCACTGACCTGATTTATCCATCAAGTCCCCTATCACAAACAGACCCAGATGTCTGTTAAAAGACCCACGCAACAGCGTATCGACAAAGCAAAAAAGCACACAGTACTCACTGGTTCCTTGAGTCCTCGTGACTAGTGTCTTTCCAATGTTTCTAATATTGAACATGGCCGGGGCTTTCACATCATACCAATCTTTCTTCGAAAATGGATCAACCCTGGGTTTGAGAAAAACAGGCTGAGCTTCTTGCTAAATCGTAAGACTACTACTGACAACTTTTAAACCTTCCTTCTTCTCAATACTTCCGTTGATATGTCCCAAAACCTTAAACTGGCTCCTATCTAATACAAAATGACGCCCCTCACCGTGAGGTGAGCGTCTGTCAACCGGGACGAATCCGTAAGTTAGACACCGTGCCTTCTCCACTGCTCCCGCGCACACGCAGCCCGACACGCATCTCGGAACCCAAAAGTCTGGGACATGAACTAAAGTTTAACAGGACGAAGCGGTCTGCAAGTGTCAGGAGTTCCCGGGGCCCGTGAGGCCCCAGCACGGGAGTGACGTGGGGTCTCGAGTGGGAAACCACACTGACTGCCGAACTTCGAGATGCAGGAGAGGGACTGAAAGTGCCGCGGCTGTCATGCAATCCCAAAGCCGTCATTCGCGAGGCATGCCCGGCTCGCACGCGGTTCACACGCGGCGCTCGGCACCCGGCCGGGTCGGGGAGAGGCGGCCGCCCGGAAGGCACCGGCCGGCGAATCCGCTCCGCATCCTCACCATCCGCCCCACGCTGCAGCCTAGAAGCTACCAGCCGACTCCCGCGGGTCCCGGGCACCGGGCGTCCGCAGAATCTGCCACTTACACTTTCTTCTTGGCTCCCTTCTTGCCGCCTTTCGTCAGCCGCTTGTTCTTGCCGACCGCCATGGTGCTGCTCAGGGAGCCAAAAGGGCGGAAGTAGAACTAGCGCGAGAACTTACGCGAGCGGGGCGGGGAGCGCCGGCTACGTGACCCTGGCTCGGTCGCCCTTCCGGCTTCCCCAGTCTCGCGACACTGCCCGGCGACTCGCGCCCGTCGTGCTGCGACAGCGCCCTCGTGCGTCGGGAGGCCGCGCGGCGGGCGGCGGGCAGGCTGGGAGACTTCACTGTGGTCCGACGGGCGTGTGCCCCCAGTGGCGCTCACAGCAAGTTTCCTGTGGTTTCCGTTGCCCCGAGGGTGCCCACTGAGCCGTCTCGTGCTCTAACCTGAGAGTATGTTTCTTCCCCGGAGCATAGGCTTTTAATCGGAGACAGCGCATCCACGTTGAAGTGGTGGTTTGAACAGTAGTTAGCCTTCCGACCTCTCTGACCTTCCGTTCTCTCATGTGTAAAATGGGAATAATGATATGATCGACTTCAAAGCGTTAGTATAATTAAATAAGCATAACTCCGGGCATGCTGCTCACATCCTGCGTGTTGATGTTGAATTCTGATTAGTCTCGGGTATGGTTGTTCTGTGAACATGCATGAAGATAGAGGCTTAGCCAGGGGTGGTAACGCATGCCTGCAATCCCAGAGCTCTGGAGGCAGGAGGGTAGCAAGTTGGAGGACAACCTGGAGTGTATGGTGAGTTCCAGATCAGCCTCAGCTACCTAGCAAGACAGACTGGGCCGACGAACTGGGAGAAGTATATATACTTTCTGTCTATGTCTTACCCATCGATGCAAGCAAAGGCATTTCTGATACTAGCTCCTGTCCAGTTTGTATACTTTACTATATATCTCTTACACATTTGTAGTCACATTTTTATTGCTTTTGTGTGCCTATGTGTGTTATGCATCTGCCTCTTCAATCTGTCAGAGAACGACTCTCAGAAGTTGGTTCTATTCTCCCACAGTGTGGGTCTAGAGCTGGAACTCAGGTGGTCAGGCTGAACTCAGGGTCAGACCTCTGCAGGTGCCTTTACCAGCTGGGCCATCTCGCAAGCCCTCCCTCCCCCACTGGATGGCGGAGTGTTTGTTTTTGTTTTTGATTTTTCGTGGAATAGGGGATTAGAGTGGATTAATGGCAAAGCCTCAGGACCATCTGAGGCCCTGGATTCCATCCCCAGCGCTTTAAAAAGGCACAGTGGAGTTTAATCCTTGTACCTAAATGACCACCACTTTTCTTAATGTAGACTTCCCTTCCCCATTTTTATGATTTTTGTTTTATTTTTCGAGACAAGAGTCTTGCTATGTAGTTTGGGCTGACCTTGAACTCAAGATACTCAGCCTCCTGAGTGTTGACATGCATGCTCTACCACATCCAGTGTAACTATTCCAATTTAGCAAAGCACAACCTAGTGAAATGTCACCAGTTGCCTCAAGAGTTTAGTCCTGTGCAGAGTTGATATTCAGCCAGCAGTGTATTGAGTTCTGAAACTTCCTCTCTGGCCAAAGCCAAAAACAAACAAACAAAAACAGTGACCAAGCCGGAAATCAACTCCCTGTTCACCAGCCAACTGGTGATTCAACTCCCAAGAAGTTGTCGAATCTCTTTTTGTTACCTTCAAAATATATTGACTCCACCACAGCCCACAGATAATTCAGCCAGGTGGTGGTGGCACATCCCTTTAATCCCAGGACTTCGGAAGCAGAGGCAGGCAGATCTCAAGTGAGTTCAAGGTGAGCCTGGTCTACAAAGTAAGTTCCAGGACAGCCAGGACTGTTATACAGAGAAACCGTGTCTCAAAAACAAAAACAAAAAATGACTCTGATTTGAGAGGAGGCTACTGTCATGTTACCCTATATTTGGAAAATGACAAAAAGTCCCATTTCCAGTCTGATCATAAAGATAACATTTACCCAGATGTCCAAGACTATCCTATAACTTTAAAGAAAATCATGGAGCCAGAGGCGATGGCACACCCCTGGGAACTCAGAATTCAGAAAGCCAAGATTCTTTGAAGGCAGTCTGGGCTACATAATGAGGCCTATCTCTGAAGATCTGTTGTTCGGTGGCAGTGTATATCTGACATGAACAAGGCCCTGGGCTCGTTCCCCAGCACCATAAAGGAAGTATGTGTTTTTGTACACGTGTGCTCAATGAAAATACCCAAAACAGTGACAGGGAATCGAACTGTTGTTTGATTGTTAGTTTGAGATGAAATCTATATGTAGCTTAGGCTTCTCCCTGGCTTAAAGGATCCTCCCACCTCAGGTTCCCAAGAATCTAGAGCCCCAATCATATTCTTCTGGCATCTGGCTGGAATATGAAGTTCTTTTCTGCTGTTGTCTTTAAGGAGGTGTAAGAGTCATTGTAATTCCCTTTTTTGTCAATCGGTGCCTTTCTCCACAGCCCATCTACCCCCTCTCCTATAAATGCATCTTGTACCCTCACAGCTCCTCCATCAAGTAACGCGACTGAATTGACACAGACCTCATAATCTGTACCATTTAACTTCTCGGCAGACCTTGTGAGAAGCTGATGAGACCTGAAGCCTCACTAATCATGGCCTCAAGATGTTCATCACCTGGACTTTTCTTTCAGCAAGGAAGTATATCACGCAACCCTTCTCTGTTAATGAGGCCATCTTTGTTCCAATCAGTCATGTTAAAAGCTCTTGAACTCCCCAATCTGTGACTGGTCATGCCTGGCAAACACATTGAATATTGTACTCCGAGGGCTTTTCTTTGCCCTCGGGCTCTACTTGATAGTCATTAAGTCCCATCACGTCCTTTCCGGCCACAGCACAACTTCTGCTCTCCAAGTTTTTAATCTTAAAATCCCTTCTAGATCTCAGCTCCTACCTCCTTCCACCACAGCCTTCTTAGTCACTCTCCGTAAACCATCAGTCCCACCTGCAGTTCTTCAACACC